CCCTCAGCCGGGTCCTGTAACTGATGTCGGACATAACCCTGTGAGAGTGCGGAGTGTGAAGCTGTGTGTGTACACCGCCCTGCTTGGCTGGGCCTGGGTCCCCAACCCCAGTGATCAGGTCGTCTGTGTTGGCCTCCTGTACCCACTATTGCACACCTGCCCCCAACCCCCTTTCAAGTCTGTAGCACAAAAGCAGAGGTTCAGAGTACACCACAGGCCTGCCCTGAAAGGGGGGCTGATGGTGACATGGCTGACCCCTGCCAGGAAAAAGTGGAGTTCAGAACAGCATCCATCCGCCTTTTTGGGCACCTCAACAAAGCCTGTCATGGGGACTGTGAGGATGTCTTTCTGGAGCAAGTCGTGGGTGGACTGGTGCCACTCCTGCTGCATCTGCGGGACCCTCAGGCTCCAGTGGCCAGTGTGAGTGACCATCGGGCTTAGAGGAAAGGGTGCCGGGCTCAGCATGATGTCCTTCAGGCCTGGGAGGACCTTGGGCTTAGCGCCCCATTATGTCATAGGCCTGCAAGTTTGCCCTGTGCATGTGTGTCCCCCACCTGGAGTGTGCTGAGCTGGCAGCTGCCTTCTACAAGTACCTTCAGGAGGGCCGCAGTGTGCACTACGGGGAATTCCTCAACTCCACGTGCAAGCACCTGGTGAGAAGAGTGCTTGAGGGAGACCCTGTCTGGGGTGGGCTGAGGACCCTGACCCCCTGATCCTAGTATTCTACAGATGCATCACTTCCCTGACTTGCTGGGCCGCCTAGTGAGCACCAACCTGTTCTACTTCAAGAGCAGCTGGGATGACGTCAGAGCTGCTGCCCCCATGTTCACAGGTAAGCAGGCCCTTCCCTTACCCTGTCACTCCTCCCGTATGTACACCACACAGCCCAGCCCATCCGCTTCAGGGTTCCTGGTGCTGCACGCAGAGCCTGAACAAAAGCCACAGGTGGACCTGGAACAGCTCATTGCAGGTGAGCATACCCCCAAATGCAGGACACATGGCCCTCTACCCCATCCCAACCTTCCCATCTCTGCTGGGGCTCTGCTGACCCCGTGGGCACCCGCAGGGACTAAGTGATTTTCCTGGATTTCAGGATTTTTTTTTCCCCTGTCACTGGTGACCTCATCGTCTCTAGTAATTCACGGAAACTTCTTAACTGTTCCAAAAGAGCTTAAAAAACACTAAAAAAGGAAAAACTATCTTTCCGTTGGCTCCCGAGCCCTCCCAGCAGAGGCCTGTCTGTTAGGAAGGCAGTGGGCGGCCCCACGCACAGGCCCAGGCATGTGCACAACTGGCCTGTTCCTCTGCCCACAGCCTTGCAGCTCCTCCTGAAGGACCCAGTGCCTGGGGTACGGGAGAAAGCCGCTGAGACACTGGGCCGCCTGGTGAAGTTTGCCTGAGGCTGATTGCACTCCCGCACGCAATACACAGCTTGTCCCGCCTCGAGGACTCTGCTGCCGGACAGACTGTGGTGCCCCATTTACTGCCCAATAAAGCCACTTACACCTCAGTGGGTGACAGTGTATTAATACCACCTTTCCTTCTGGCTAAGCTAAGTCCTGAGGTCTCCTCGTCTGGGATACCACGTTAGGTCAAGGCTTGGCAACTGTTGGGAGCCCCAATCAAGAAGGCAGGAACAACAGGGATCAAGGATTCTATTGAAGATTGTGTGGGCACACCCACCCCGTTGCAGGCCACCCATAATAATGCATGGGCCTAGCTGTAGAGTCGAATGGTGCCATCTGCCCCAGAGGAGAAGATCCATGGCTGTGTCGGGTGGAAGGCCACATCCAGAACGCCCAGGTCTCGGGTTAGTGTGTGCCCCTTAAGCACCTTGACGGGCACCAGCAGTGGGTTCTGCAGCAGGTCACTGTGGAAGAGAGGGACTCAGGACCCAGTGGAATGGTCCCATGGGAAGGGCTGGGTAAGGGCCGGCACTCACTTGTACACCATGCCATGGCAAACAATAACACTGCCGTCGTCTGAGCCGGATGCAAAGAGCGGGTATCGGGGGTGGAAGGCCACAGCCCGTAAGGCCTTCTTGTGGTGCCTGCAGAACAGCGTATTCACAGCGGGCTCCAGCTGAAGGGGCCCCACCCCCCACCTCACCGACTCCACCTTACCGCAGCACTTTGTATGGCTTTGTGGAAAGATCCAGGTCAAACCACACCAGTTTGCTGTCGTAGCTGCCACAGATGACGTTGTCACCTAGGACCAGAAGCAGTGACTCTAATTCTCAGACTTCCAGGGTTTACTCCCGGACCCTGGCTTGGAGAATACATGTTCCCCTCACCTGCGGGGTGCACAGCCAGGCTAGACACCCACTTGCAGTTGGGCATCAGCTTCTTGGTAAGCTCCTGGCGCAGCAGGTGGTAGATGCGGATGCTGCGCTGCGAGGCCACTAGCAGGAAGGGCCGGGCCGGGTGGAAAGCCACACATTGCACCTGTCCGTGGCTGCGGCGGAATGGGCTCTGGCTGCGTCTCCTGCTCAGCTGGTGGATCAGCACCTGAGTGTGTCCTTGGCTGGACAGCACCACAGCCAGGTAGTCCCCTCGCCCATGCCAGGTCACCTGTGTCACTGGCTGAAGAAGAGCAATGCTGGCTGATTGGCTGACCAGGTCTTGGAGTTGCCCTCCCCTTCCCATCACGTACCTTGCTGTGGCAGATACGCAGTCGCAGGCCCTGCTGGCGCTCCTCCTCTGAGGCCTCCAGCCAGTGTGCAGGCTGCAAAGTTGGCTCTTCAGGTGGAGTGAAGGCCTCCACCAGCTGGTCTGTGCTGCTCACCAACAGCCGGTCCCCCAGGGCTGGGTTCAGAAGCAGGACTGCCTCACCCCTACAAGCCAGGGCCAGACACAGCCCTTCCTCAGCATAGTCCCCACTTTTCTGTGTCCCCTCCCAGCCCTAACCCCCGGGGTCCTAAACTCACATGGCCGCAGCTACTAGGCAAATGGCAGGATTGGGGTTCCAGGCAACGCTCCGTACCACACCCCCAACATGCACAGTCCTCATACAGCGGGCAGTGGCCACCTCCCAAAGCCTCAATGAACCATCGTCTGAACCTGGATGTGGCAGTGAAGGCTCTCAGCACCTGAGCCTCTTACCCAGGTCCCTGTCTCCCAGCTCAGGGCAGCCCCCACCTCAGGCCCACCTGAAGCCAGCCACTGGCCCCCTGGGGAGACACTGAGGCAACGGACAAGGTCAGTGTGGCCTCTGTAGACCTACAGAAAAGGAACAGTGAAAAGACAGACAGACACTAGAGGGCATTTGCCCACCTCTGATCCCACACTTACAAGGGCCTGGCACACAGGGAAAGGCTGAAGGTCTCTTGGCCGAGGAAGCTTGGGGATAAGGTCTTCGGGATCCACACTCACCTGAGCAGGAGAGCATCAGTCACTGCCCTGCAGCCACCTTCCCCAGGACCTAGGGGCTGCCTCACATACCCTCATCTTGCGTTGCCGTGGGCACAGGTACAAGTCAAGACAGCGCTCAAAGCGCTCCTGGATGAAGCGGCCATAAGCAGGCACTGTCCTCAGGCTGGGGAACTTCTGTGGCAGGAAGTTAAGCTTCCTCTCATCAGGCTCCTGCTGCATCCATGCCAAGCGCTAGGGAGGCAGGATGTAGGTGAGAAGGGATCAGGGAACATGGCTGGGGCCCACCCTCAGCTCAGTGCAGGCCCACCTCCTCCTCAGTGGGCAGGTACTCAGGAGGTGGGTTGTAGGACTCAGCATGGCCAGGCAAGGCCAGCTTGGGTGCAGGCACATGCATCTTGTGGCGCCCCAATACAGCATTCGGATCCTCCTGGGCCCACAGGTCATAGAAGCTAGGGGTGGAGTCTTGGGGCCGTCGAGGCTTGATCCAACCCATCTTGATGGCATGCACCATCCGAGACACCTGCACACAGAGCTAAGGTCAGATGGCAGCACAGGGACCTTCCACAGTGGGGTAAAGAATGATGGCGGTGGGCCCCCACCTTCTCCTTCTCGACTAGGGACGGAATGAAACTACGCTTGTCAGCTGGGCGGTTGGTCACAGGGTGTATCATGACGTCACCACTGAAGAAGTCCACAACTGGCTAGGGAGACAAGCACAGATGTTAGGTTGTGGGAGGGGGCTGATTGTGCTTCAGACCCTAGGGCCAACTTACTACCTACCTCATAGGGGTTGAAGCCCAAATCTCCAAACTGGCCTCTCTGAAGGCGCTGTACCAGGGCCACCTGCTCATCAGTCAGCCGCAGGTCACGCCCTGTCATCTTGTCCTGCACAGTGCGCCTAAGGGAGAGCCAGTCAGAGCCATACTCCAGGCCCGAGGGACACAGGTCCTGACCCAGGGCTCAAACTCACCAGAAATCTGGGTCATCCATTTTGTCCAGAAACTGGTCCAGCTCATCTCGTGTCCGCAGGGGCTTGTAGATACGCTTGCCATCCAGGTCATAACCCACATGTGGGAAGTCATCATACCATGCCAAGGGCACATTGCCCACAGTGTTTCGAATATCCTGTAGCATAGTCACCACGTCAGCACCTGTCCCTACCATGCTTGATCTTCTTCAAGCCACCCAAGGACAGAAGGGTCACTCTAGATTGGCCTCGAGTGCCCAGAGGCCGGGTGACCTAAAATCTGCCCTAGCCCTGGCCCCAGGTCTGACGTGGCATGGCAGGGGTACGATGCCCCCTTCCCCCAATCCCTTGGAGGCGCCAGAGCTTTACCTTCACATTTTCCACTGAAGTGATGCCAACCCTAGCCTCCCCCCTCACTGGATTCCTTGGCCAAGGCTCTGGGCAGCCACAGACAGGGATGACCTCATCGACTATGGGCTCCCTCCCCTGGCAGAAGCCTTAGGTACAAGTGGGTAGTTATAAGGCAGGAACCACGAGAAGACCCCACCCCACCCACAGGGAGACAAATCTCTGCTGTGCTCAGCAGGTAGTCACAGACCCCCTTCCAGCACCACTGGTCTCCCCCCTCCCACTTCAGTGGGCAGAGCAGCCACATTCCTGGACACACATTCCTGGTTTCAGCCACTGCCAGCCACCACCCTCACTCCTCCCAGCCTGGGGACTGCTGCCCAGGCAGCCACTTCCTGCAACAGTAGCCACAGGGAGGAGGGGCCCAGACATCACTAGCACAGCTGAGTGCCAGCAGCCCCCCGGCAAGACCCCTTGGGCCCTTGTCCCACTGCACCTGTCCATACCAGCCCTTCCCAACAAGTTCATTCCCAGAAATGCCCTTGCTGTGCGCCCTCCACCTATATTGCCACTTCCAAATTGGAGGGCCGGGGAGGTGCCGATTTTATTATCCACGTGTGCACTGGCCTGGAGGAGCCCCAGGAAGCACACAGCAGGGATGGGGGTGGAGTCCCCCAGGCAGGATGGGTCAAAGAGAAAGGGTTCTTGCACAAGGCACAGGCATACAGTCAGGCCAACCTCATACACCCATCTACCACTGCTGGAGTTGTCCATAGCCGCCACCCCCCCTCTCTGCGCGTGCGCGCACACGCACACACGCGCACACACACACGCACACGCGCGCATACGCACACACACAGCCTGGCACAAAAGACTCAAGTGCACATGGAAGGAGAGTCAGACAGGGTGTGGCCAGGCACTCAAGGCCAGGGCAGCTGGGTGAACTTAGGCATGCCAGGAGAAAGCCTCTTGGTTCCTGATTTATCCTCTTCTTCCCTGCAGAGTGAGTCGGGTGGGCACCACTGGCCTTGGAGCATCAGTAGCACCTCGGAAATTAGCCAACCAGGAAGATGCTCAGGACCCTCTAGGCGCTGCTATTGAAAGGGAAAAGGTGCACGGGCTCTGCATAAACTCCTCCAGGCCAGGAAGGGAGGCGGAGGCCAGGCGCGGGGGAGGAGCCGACTGCTATAAAAGCACTGCTCTGCTGGCGGCCCCACTCCAGTCCGAACACATGTGCCCGCCTCGCCCAGCAGCCACCACCGCGGGGCGCAGCGGAGACCCCTGGCCCGGCGGCCTGTGGGGGCCTAAAGAGGCGGCATGAGCAGCGCACCGTGGAGCTGACGCCGCGCCCCCTGCCCGGTCCATGTCTTTCGCCATGCTGCGCTCAGCACCGCCGGGCCGCTACCTGTACCCTGAGGTGAGCCCGCTGTCGGAGGATGAGGACCGCGGAAGCGAGAGCTCAGGCTCCGACGAAAAACCCTGCCGTGTGCATGCTGCGCGCTGCGGCCTCCAGAGCGCCCGGCGGCGGGCAGGAGGACGGAGGGCCGCGGGTAGTGGGCCAGGACCCGGGGGGCGGCCAGGCCGCGAGCCCCGGCAGCGGCACACCGCGAATGCACGCGAGCGAGACCGCACCAACAGCGTGAACACGGCCTTCACCGCGCTGCGCACACTCATCCCCACCGAGCCAGCAGATCGCAAGCTCTCCAAGATTGAGACGCTGCGCCTGGCCTCCAGCTACATTTCTCACCTGGGCAACGTGCTACTGGTGGGTGAGGCCTGCGGCGACGGGCAACCATGCCACTCGGGACCCGCTTTCTTCCACAGCGGTCGTGCGAGCAGCCCCCTGCCACCACCGCCGCCGCCACCACCGCCACCACCGCTGGCCCGAGACGGCGGAGAGAACACCCAGCCCAAACAGATCTGCACCTTCTGCCTCAGCAACCAGAGAAAGTTGGTGAGCAGGGCTGGGAGAACCGAGGGGCCCCAACGTACTTACTCATCAGCCCGCTCCTGCCAGGCAGAGCGGTGCCAAGCAAGGCCGGCATTCCCTGACACCTACACCTGACACCAGAGCTGCGCCCAAAGGAGGGAAGGAGCTACACCTTGGGACACTGGCTCCCACGGGTAGTGGTCATAGGGACCTACAAATCTAGGATCAAGTAGTACTGAGAAGGGCCACCCAGGAGAAGGTCTGGAGGGAGGGTGGGCAGCAGGAACCTGGCAAGGCTGAGGGACCATTCCAGGCTTTATTGCGCAGCATGTTGAGAGCTGAAAGGAGGTGAAAAGTCTATCTAAGCCTCCTCCAAAGGGGGATAGTGCACAGCAGCGCCACTACCCCTCCACCCCCGCAGCCCATCTCCACCCAAAGGCTTATGGGGCACCTGCTGTTCCTCCCCTGGTCTACTGAGACCTGCAGTAGATGGCCTGGGGGAGAAGGCCGAACTGAGAGGTCTGGCCAGCCATGATTTACTGCTCTGGCCGCATTTGGTGGCACCGGAAAAGCAGGGTGAGCAGGGAAAAAATACAACGGCTTTCCCCAATCCCCATTTCCTCTCCAGACAGCACGCGCAAGCTCCTGGGGCCTGAACATCTGGGAAATTTAATTTTACAGTTTCGGCTGTGCGGCAGAGTACTCCCCTCCCCAGAATGCACTGTGGGGGTGGCAGGGACCCGGGACAGGGTGCCCTAGCACTCATCACCCGAGACAGTGCCCCAACAGGAAGCCAGGGAGGTCCAGGCACTGCTGGGTGACACTCAGTCTCCACCCAGACCCTGACACACCCCCATCCCCTCTGCAGAGCAAAGACCGTGACAGAAAGACGGCGATTCGAAGCTAGAAGAAGGAGGGTCCACAGCAGCCCAGAGGTGATGCCACTAGTGAAGGTGGACGCCACTGAAGAGTCACGGAGAGCCTCAGCTTGCATGGACCTGATCTGAGCACAGGTCCCCGAGAGCACGCTCACCAGGCCAGACCTGCCCCAGCTATGAGCAGGGCCTACGGACAGACAGGTGGACAGGCGGGCTATGGCTTGACTCTTAGTAGCCCAACACTTCCAGGCCCACTGGAACTTTCCATGCTGGCTCCCTACCTGGGCCAAGTGTTGGCATCTTGTGTCTTTAATGATAATATAAAGTCTGGAAATTTTGTATAACTAAAAATGAAACAGTATCTTCCAAACTGAGGCAGACTATCCTCTTGAAAGGATCTGAACTTACTCTGACCCTAGCTCTCTCACTCTGTCTTCCCAGAGTGAGGACAGGTTTACATCACCCATCAAAAGCCTTGTGCTAGGGGTCTGTGCTATGTGTGGTGGGGGTGGGGAGGCAGGCAAAGGGACGGGGCAGGGGAGAGGGTGAAGACTTGCTGTGTGGTAGACAGAAGGAGAGAGAAGAGGGCAAGCCCATGGTAGGAGGCAGCAAGCAACACAGCAGCCTTGCCTCCTCCCAAGGAGTACAAGATGGGGTCGTGGGCACATGGACATTTGATTTCACCAGCAGTGCTCCATTAAAAATGGGTACAGGGAAAAAGTAAGCAGTGCTGCCCAGCCAAGCAGGCCAAGATGGGCCTGAAGCTATCCAAATGTCCCCACTGGCACCCACACAGGCTCAGAGAGACTCGGGCCCCCTGACTGCCAGCGCTTCTGCTCTCCTGCCTCCAGATGCACACTGGAGAGATTCCTAGCCATCCAACACTCTGTCCTATTCACCTCCCCCAAAGATCCCAATGGCCCCTGAGGTTGATTCAGACCCTCACCAGGCTCTATGCACAGCTGGCTGATCATTAAAATCCTGCAGGTGACAATTAGTTGAGTGGGTACAAGAGAGAAGAAAGGCCAGGCCTGACTTCTGGCTAGGTGGTGGGTGGGGAATGGCAGAGGGCACCAGGTGCTGGTACTGGCAGGCCTCCTGGCCCCTGGCTGCGGGGGAGACCAGGTGTTGAGGCCTATCTGGGCATCCTCATAGGGCAGGGACAACATGGCCCCTCCTCTGCACTGAAGGGCTCCAGGGAATGCTGGTGCAGGAAACAGTGGTGTAATTTTGGAGGAAATTCTCAAAGCCAGAGCCATTAAGGCAGGGGTAGGGGCTGTGTCCAATCTGATAGAAATATAACAGCATAAAGAGTCACAGCGGCAGGTTTCGTTCAGAAAGAAACCCTACCCCAAATTTCCTCCCCTTAATCCTGTAGGAGCTCACAGCTGCTCAGAGGGAGGGGGTGAGCGAGGGCACACTCAGTCACTGCAGAGGCTTCTGTAGCCCAGGAAGCCAGAACCTGGAGATGCAGCTGGGGCTGAGGGAGGCCACCTTTCCTTCTCATGCATTCCCCATGCAAGGCTCAGCCCAGATTCCCTTCCAAGCTACAAGGCCACTGTGACAGATGCTGAGTTGAGTCTGGAGTCACAACCTGGCAAGGTATACCTGTATTAGGCAAATGGGCAGCAACCCCCACCAAAGGACCCCAAGCTGGCCTTCCTCCTCTGCTGGACACAGGTCTCCTCCCCTCACCTTTAGGCCTCACATTTCAAAACCTCTCCCACTTAAACGTCCACTCAAAACATCTCCCCTGGAGGGTCAATGACTGGGTAGGTACCTACTTTTTTCAGTGGTCAGAGTAACTGGGCCAATGTCAGGAATAAGCCATAGGGCCATGCACACAAAAGGCTCTGAGAAAAAAGTCCCCAAAGAGCAAACTGGAGAATACAGGTAGAGATGCCTGTCTATGTGTAGAGGCTGCCAGTCTGAGTAGCAAGCATAGCTGGGGACTATGGGGCTAGACAGAGGCTCAAATGATGCCCAGCTAGCTCTACTAGGCATCTCACAACCAGAGCCCAGCAGAGGAGGGAAGCGCCAACTGAGGGATTGGGGTAAAGCAGAAGGCAGGCAAGCCCAGGAGCTGGCAAGCTTGAGCTCCAGCAAGACTGAATGGTAGACCAGAGTCAACCAGACAGGAGCTGGAGGCTTGGGTGTCAAAAGGGGTCAGATGAAACGGAATGGGCTGTGGGGCTGGAAGGCTCTCTAGAGGCCTGGATAGTTGGGGTGCGGCACGCGCCCGGCCAAGGCCTCCACTGCAGGGCCTGACTCTGAAAGCGGCTGCAGCTTGGCCAGCCTCAGGCCTGGGCAGGCAGCCCAGCCACTCCCTGAGCTGCACCGGTAGCAGTGGCTGAGGGCTTGGCCCGACAGCCAGCAGGAGGAGGGGAGGGGAGGGGAGAGGAGAGGAGAGGAGAGGAGGGAAGAACACTCCGTCACCCTCCACTGCTCCAGATTCAAACCAGACCGGGGGTGGCATGGCCCATTCCCATCCTGTGGCTCCATGTGAGTCCACAACAGCTTGTGGCCAAAGAGTGGCAGGTGCTGTGTACCCACCACAGCCCCTGGCATCCTTCCCAGTGGGCAACTTCACCCTCCACCACACTGAGGAGCTGTGGGACAAAACTCAGGAGCTCCCTTAGTATGTGCCCCACAGAGGCAGCTGGTCGGGGGGGGCGGGGGGACTGGCCCTCACCATGGGCCAACAGCCACCCTTTTGAGCTGAGCTGGGCTGGAAACATTCGGCTCAGCCTCAGCTGTCAGCTCCCTGTCCCCAGCCTGGGGAATGAGCCGCTGGCGGCACCACATGATTCATCACCAGGCTGCCTGCACCCCAGGCCAGCCGCCCCCGCCCTGCTCAGCACCTGCGAGCTGCCAGGAAACACATGTGACCCCTTTGGGTCAGGCCCAGCACTGAGACCCCAGGCCAGGCTAGTGGAGGACAGACAGACCCGAGCACCATGCTCTCCTGGGAGGGGGGGGGGCGCTACCCAGCCCCTAGAAAAAGCCTGTAGGGTGAGGCTGGTGGGTCCACATCCATCCCTCCATCCTATCCCATCTCCTTCCCCCACTCCCCCCACTACACCGGACACAGTGTCGGCTGGGACTTTTCCGCTCTCGATGAGCCCCCTCCCCTCCCCCTCCCCAAAGTGGCTGCAGCTGTCAGGACCGCAGATTGGAACTGCAGGTACGGGGCTGGCCCGCTGCCCACCTCCCTCCCGTGTCTGTCTGCGAGAGAGGAAGCCAGCCCACCTCTGGAATCCTTCACTCTCTCCTCGTTCTGCCTCTCCCACCTGTCCCCCGGGAGCATGGGGTCAGCCGCCTCACTCAGTCTCTCTCTTCCCCGGGCCCCTCTCCGATTACAATGCGGGTAGTGTTCACTGTTGCTCAGCTCCCCCTGCACCAACCACCCTCTTGTCTCAGAGCTCATGGCCTTCCTGTGCTGCCACCTCCCCCTCATGGGGTGTCTTATCTCTCAGAGTGCTTAGGACTAGCCAGCTGCCTTGGCCTCACATGCCACACTGACCCCAGCAGAAGGTTCCAGATGAGATGCTAAGCTCTGAAGCGTACACTAGAGGCCTGCGCGACAGACCAGAGGGAGACAGCCTCTTCCTGTTCTGAGGCCAAACCAGCTGAGACCCAGCAGGGGCTGAGACCCACAGGGGCTGACCAGGCAGGCACCACCTCTGAACCTACCGTCTCCTTACCACACTGCTTCTGGTCCCCTGCTCTCCTCTACCATGCTGACCATCTCTTGAGGGGCTGGCTCAGCCCACCCGAGCCTACTCCTGCTTGCACCTCCCCAGCAAGAGAACAGAGGCAGGCAGCATCTTTAGATGTGTGAAGGATACTAGGGAGAAGAAAATAGCCACCCAAGGCCCAATTTGCATGTCCCTCTCCGGGGCCACTCAGAATCAAAGGGTGACTGACCTCCCTACTTCTGTAAGCAGGAGATCCCAGATGTTCCTGCACAAGTACTGGAGCTGGGCACAGGCTCCAAGTAGCTTTTATCACTAAAGGCTGAGGGCAAAGGTCTTTCTGAGTCACTAGGCAGATTCAGTTGCTACCTTAAGTTGGGAGGTGGGTCCAGAGCGCCACATGTGGGTCACCAGCCCCCCAAGCTGCAGGCATCTCCAAAACCTCAATAGAAATAATTTCCCCCACCTCTAGGCACTGCCCACATGTGCAGGGCTGCCAAGTGTGAGTCCTGTCCCCAGCAAGGCAGTCCTGGCCCTGCGTAGCCATCCTCCTCACAGGGCACTGCTTTGTGCCTCCAACAACTCACTCTGACCAGCACTCCCTGCCTTGCAAGGATCTGCCCTCGCTGCGCTCCACAGAGCTGCTCTCCAGTTGTCCCCTAGCCCTAGCAAGAAGACAGAAATCTGAAGCAGCCTACTTTACCTGCCAGCCACAGCCTGGACCAGCTCTAATCCCTATGAGAGACACATGGCATCCTAAACCTGCTTCCCCTCTACCTTCCTCCCAAGGTGGACCCCCTGCCAGCTTGGGTACTCTGATGCAGTGTGGCTCTTAGAACCATCAGCCAAAGTCAAGAAATGGTACTAGAGGTCTACCTGGCCAACAAATAAACAGTGCTCACAGAGACACAACACAGTGGCCATTGGTGAGTCCCTAGGTTGGGCAGCCCTAATGGGATGGGCAGCCCTAATGGGATGGGCTAGGTCTGAGTCTGGCCAGAGGCCCCATTTAGAGGCAAGCATAAAGGCTAGCCTCGGGTGGATGGCCGCCAGAACAGTCTGCACAGACCCGGGTGCCTTCTACAAACAGCAGGGAGGGCCACTCACTGGCTGGAAACCTGAGCCCATAGGCTCCCCTGCCAGCAGTAACACAAGCAAGCATGGAGAGAGTAGAGTGCACACAGGGAAGCGGCCAGGACACAGCCGGCAGGCGGGGGTGGCCCCGGAGGAGCAGAGACCGCCAGCGCACTGGAGGCAGCTGCCGGTTCAGTAGCTGGGAGAAGCCATTAACTGCGTTTGGCGAGAGAGCAGAGGGGATCACAGGTTCTGGATGCAGACAGGCCAGGCCATGTCCCTGTGGGATCCTGAGTTATAGATTGGGCAAGGTGGGGGAGGAGGAGTTAAGGCTGTAACAAAGACCCCAGCCCCAGCCCCTCCTGGCTAGAGGTCACACAAGGAATGGTCCTAGGCCCATTGCCCTAGGAAGGGTACTTGCAGAAGTGCCCTGGAAGGGTACTTGCAGAAACCAGTTCTCCCCAGACTTTCCAGGCCAGAACTCATGACTTCCCTGAACCCCTCATACTGGCCACACTTCTTGAAGATCAGGGCTGAAGGCCTGCTGAGCAGATGCTTGGCCTTCTCTACATGACCAGGCCTGGCCTTGGTTTCTCCTAGTTGCTTGATATGCAGAGGAGGGGCAGCACTGGCTACCCACCCGCCCTTCTATCCCAGTCCACCTCCCAGGGGTCCCAACTACTGGATGAGATCACGTCTATGAAGCCCCACGACTGTAGGGA